AGACCATTTTCCCACCATTTTCCCAAGATTTTCCCCACCAAAAATCCACATACAATCCACCTACCAGTACTCCACCAACACCAACAAAAACCCACACACTCATAAACCCAAATACAATTTACCAACACAGAAGAAAATACACAAACCCACCATGAGACAACCATTCTCAACAACCACCCGATTAAATCAATACAACCAACCCACACAAATTCACAAAATCCACCAAAACCAAAATACAACCAGCAACACCAAACACCAACCCAATTCACAATCGATATACACAACCAACCCCACTACCCCACCAAACCTAACAACCATACCCACATCAACTCACCAGATCCAACACCCCAAACACAACAACTAATTAATTAAATGTCAAATTAAGAATATATAGGAATAAATAAAACATCACTCAATACTATTCCATTCGATTTACTTGTAGTGAATTTGTATAGATAATAAAATTCATATAATCAAAATCAATATCAATCTATCAAATTACCCACACCTTACTACCCACTCCAACCACAGTATCACCAACAAATATCACATATGGCAAACACATCTAAATACACAATCACACAAACAACACAACAACCTTGCAACCAACCCATCATCCAACAAATACATAAATTAAATAAATACTAATATAGACAAAATAAATATAAATCAAATCTACATTACTATCCACCACATCAAATTGCAATGTTTTTGGTTCTATTATACCCAATCAATTAAAGAATATAAATCCAATATCACTACTTATACAATCACCACAAACCACATACCAACCCATATTCCACCAAATTCGTATGTTACACCAACCCCTATCGAACCACCATCTCCTAAAAACCTCCAAAAACCCCAAAATTTAACAACGGGGAACATGCATGAATTTCCAGCCAAAAAGTTGAACGCCCCTAAAACCCCAAAATTCTCCGAAAATTTGGACCATTTTTCCATGATTTTCTCAACCATCCCTACCACCAAAATACAACCCATCCATAAACCCACAGCAATCATCACCATCACAATACACATTCCACCTACATCCCCAAAATAACACACCCACCTTACCAAACCAACAACCCAATACAATACAACCCAATTACATAAATTGTAATTAAACCAATACATGTAAGAATAAAATCATAAATCATATACCACTCCACCTGATCTTATTCCTCTGTTTTGTTATATAAAGTAAACCAAGTAAATTAAACCAAACTCAAAATCTATCCAATTCACCCAGACCAACAACAATCTCAACAACTAATTCCTTATATTACACTAACCCCTACCGAACCACCACCTCTCGAAAAACCTCCAAAACCCCAAAATTAACAACGGGGAACATGCATGAATTTCCAGCCAAAAAGTTGAACGCCCCTAAAATCCCAAAAATTCTCCGAAAATTTGGACCCATTTTCCATATTCTTTCACCATTTTCACCAACTAAACCACCCCAACTCCAAACCCAACTCATCACACCAATAATACACCAACCCCAAAACCAAACCACAACACCAACTCACAAACAGCCAATATCAAATGAGCCACTAGTCCACAACCCAAATATACTAATACCCACATTATCAAACCCAAACACAACAAAAGCATCCCAATACAACCAAACTAATTATATAAATATTACAAGAAATCATTTTACATACAAATTAAACCATCTTCATCCTCCCATTTCTAGTTGAATGATGTTATGATTGTATACAAGTATAAGCAAAATATAATCAAACTTTAAAATCTACTAAATCCACATAACCAGTTTAACTCCAGATACAAACCACCACCAATAACACGCCACAAACACCCCACCCACACTACCAAATACGTTCCTACAATCAACTCATACAAACACCACCATCAAGACTAAATACATCCAAATAATTGTAATTAAGTCAAAAAATATAATAATAACCTCATATACCATTTATTTATACTGACATAATGTTGATTTGGTTTTCATGAAATATATAAGACACACATAAATCAAATATAAAGTTTATATAATTAATTCAGGCACACCAAACAAAACCCCCACACAACACAACGAACAAAATAACACAAACCACCCCCACCCCACCAACAATCATTACACCAAACTATACAGCAAAGATCAAAAACTTGACACACAACAATAAACTCCACAAAATTCGATTAAATATTAAGCACTAATATTAACCCCAAAATCCCCGTATTCTTTTATATTACACCAACCCCCTATCGAACCACCATCTCCTGAAAAATCCCCAAAAACCCCAAAATTAACAACGGGGAACATGCATGAATTTTGATCCAAAAAGTTGAACACCCCTAAAATCCCAAAATTCTCCGAAAATTTGGACCCATTTTTAACTAATTCCAACAAATTTACACACCCCTCACCCACACTCCACCCCAATTCAACCCAACAAACAACAACCCCAACACAAATTCGCAAACACAACTACAAACACACAACATCCATATCAAACAATACCAACACCCCCTTTCCATAAAGCACTATAATTATTTAGACATTAAATCAAAGATATATTAATCTGAACCTACTCTGATATTCTACATGTCATACACTCATATATGTAGTTGTATCTATGTAATAAGCTCATAATCCAAAACATAAAAAGAATAATAAATACATAATTCTTTCACCACCCCAAAAAACCCTCGAATTTTTATATTACACCAACCCCTACCGAACCACCACCTCCCCAAAAAACCCCCAAAATGTCAAAATTAACAACGGGGAACATGCATGAATTTCCAGCCAAAAAATTGAACGCCCCTAAAATCCCAAAAATTCTCCGAAAATCTAGACCATTTTCCCACCATTTTCCCAAGATTTTCCCCACCAAAAATCCACATACAATCCACCTACCAGTACTCCACCAACACCAACAAAAACCCAC